TTTTCAACAGCCTATGGAGGGGGAGGGGGGTAGTTCAATTACACTAATTAGAACTTAAAGTACCATAGCAAGAGACTTATTTCGAAAAAACACGTGGAAGATGTGCTGCCCAGTGAAGGGGGAGGGGTTGTTGTGACGTGGCACTACCACAGCAAACCCCTTAGCGCCATTTCAACTACCTCTGCGGGTACCACCAAAGTAAAGGCTACACTGTAGTTACTCGTTATTAAACCTTATGAATAATTTTCCCGCAAAACTGCTGCTTCAGCGCCATCGAGATTTCGCCGGCCGATATACAATTTCACAATTTTGCTTGAATTAACCCTCAGCAGTTGCATATCGAGCTAAATACGGCCGACGCCAACTCTTGTTTCGGCACAATTTGCAATTTACCACAGCTGTCCTGTTCTGGGATCACAGCGTCAAAAAAAAAAAAAAAAAACCAATCGGTGTGCACACGTCCAACGCCATCTGTGTCTGTGCAGACACCACCAACCGTACACCTCGCCCCCAGACGGTATGTCTCTTCAATTAATCGCCTGTCTTCTGTCCACTTCCCGAAAAACACCCTGAGCGGTCAGTTTCACTTTCTCATGAATACTTCAGAAATACCCCGCGAATATCTCATGAACATCATCCGTTGGCACATGTTGCTGCTGCTGCTCATCAGCTATCAAAATCCAAATTCCATTCATTCATTCATTGAATTTTATCTTTTTTTTTCTTCAACAGATGAATTCACCAAAAAAAAAAAAACTAACCTCACTTATTGCGCAAAACCAAGCAGCTAATAATAATAGCAAATGCCAAGTTGTTCAGAGATGACTGACACCCTGTAACAAAACGATTAGAACAAAATCTACACAACATAGAGCCCCCATACCTCCACCACCAAAAAAAAAAAAACCGATTTTTCTTAAATCCCATAAACTAAACCAAACAATGCCACCTCCCAAAAATTCGTTTTTGCGCCTTAAAAAAAACCAAAAAAAGCGTAAAAAATTTGTCCAAAACTCTACTCAAAAACTAAAGAGGTAAATTCCTACTTAAAATACTTGATATTAAATAAAAAATTAAAAAAAAAAAGACGAAAAAATGCAAAAAGTAAAAATTTCTCGCTCACTGAATTTGATTCCCAGCAAGCGATCCCCCTCCCCCTTCCCCTCACATTCCTACATGTGCACAACTACAAAGTATATGAAAAGACTGAACTTTCATCGAAAAAAACCACCGGAAAACAGCTTCAATCATCAAAAACTCTTTATGATTTTATAAAAGGAAAAAGCTTATACGGTGAAGAAAAAAAGATAAAAAACTACAGTTTTTGGACCGCAAAACACATGTGTGCGTACATAGAGAAGTGCACATACACAAAAATTCACAGAAGATGAAATTAGACAAAAATCAAAGAAAAATTTAGAAAAATTTAAAATTTGGAGACATTTTCAACGAAAATTTCACAATCATCATTTCATGAATCATATTAGAAACGCATCAGAAGATGTTTAGAAATTTACCAAATTATCGCAGATTCGCCTCATAAAGCTTGTGAAGCTCAATTTCCCGCAAAAAAATCGATCGCACGAATAAATTTTCGCTTGTGTAGCTCATTTTCCCGCAAAAAAAAAATCGATCGCACGGAAAAGAATTTATTTCGTACGCCAAAAAGTATGCATTTTCTGGAATTTTAGGTCTGAGAAATTCCTTGTTTTGCCCATTTTTTGCCCAGGAAATGACTGTACTAAAATGAGATCCCTACGAAAATGCTACGAAAAGCCAATTTTTTAAAGTCATCATTTACGACAACAACAACAGATCATTTTATAGTAGCATTTTTATCACAAGTTCTTTTTGCTGCATGGTTTGCTGCTGCTGCTGTTGCTCAGTATCCACGGCCACCCCATCCACCACCGCCACCTTGTCCACCAGAGCCACCCCACGATTGTCCACCACCTTGACCGCCACCACCCCATCCACCTTGGCTACCACCTTGTCCCCAACCACCACCTAAAAATTAAGCAATTATTTTCTACTATAATTATTATTCAAAAAAGCATTCAGCTAGTAAAGAAAAAAACCTAACTTACAGCTGTTCATCTTTTAATGTTACTCGACAAAACGGAACATTCAACGTTCCGAGTACTTTTTTTTTAAAACTCTTACTAATTTTTGGCGCAAGGAATGAGTGATGATGATTTTTTAACGAAAAAAAAAAAAAATGTTAAAACGATTTGAAAGAAAATGGACCAGGGGTAATACCAGAAATCGAATAATTCGGAAGTCTGAGATGGAAGGGCCCCCAAAATGAACCGCAGAAAGACCTCCATCTTGAAAGTCTCCAACTGAAGCGTGGCCCAAACCCGAGGAAATGGAGAGGGAAGATCAGTGTGAAATTTCAGCTTTCCAGCTTGTCTGATTCTCGAAGTTGTCTTTTCCCAAAAAACTTGCATGTAAGCACTCTCAGTAAAACTGGTTGCTGCTGATACTTCGCTGACGCGTGCTTTCATTTCCACAGAGCATGAATACGAAGGAAGCCCTGACCTTATATCCCACTCGGTCTAAGCTATCCTTTCGTAATACAACTTTAAACACAAACTTTCCTATGGGAGATCTAAATGGCACTACTTCCACTGTGTGTTTTCATTAATTATCAAAATTCGATTGTGTTCCTCTCCAGGGTGGGTCAACAACGCCACGCAAACTGCATATTTTAACACACAGACGATTTTAGGGCCCCGTTCTGTTCCAATCTCCTAGCCAGGGATATATTCATTGTTTGTATCTTTAAAATTTCTATAACATCTACTATCAGTACACGCAAAGTGCCAAGCGGCGGCAGCGGGATGGTACCGGATTTCGCAGTGTTAAACTAATTTTTTTAACGAAGGCCGAGAGAATAACAGGTAATTTCGCACAGAAACAGTGATAAAGTAAAAGGCAGTACGGGCCTCAAAGGCTCTGTGAGGGAATGGAAGAGGGTAGTAACTAGGGCCAGGAACAATTCCGGATAAAGCCTGCAATGCAGTGAGTTGCTGCTTGCTGATCACAATGAATTATCATTAATTAATGATAATAATAATAATGCATGTGATGATGATGAAGCTTACCGGCACCGCCAGCAGGTCCTCCCCATCCACCTTGCGATGGTGGTCCACCCCAACCACCGCCGCCTTCACCACCCCAACCTCCTCCTGAAAGAGTGGAAAATTTATCGTACTGCACAGAGTATTTTCACAGACAGAGAGAGAGAGAGAGACGACAAGGGTATTGCCTAACTTTTTCTTCCCTCTCCTTGTTGAGCTGTCGCTTTCGGAGTCAGCAAAACACTCCCTGGCAACGAAACTGAAAGGCCAAACTATAGCAAAAAGGCCATACTCATTTCGCTAAATATATTT